GATCAAGGTAACAATCAGAGCCCTTCCTTTTTGTGTAATGTGTGTCATATTTTGAGTATTTTTAACTTGCCTCGCAGGTGTCCCGCCTACCAAAATGTAAAGGTTAAGAAGTGTACTAAAATATTCAGCTCCACTTATTTGATGTCAAATTGTTCTGTGAAGCAGGGGGGGAAATTAAAAAGGGAAATATAGCTTCATTGAAAAATGTTACTTCCCCCCGTTCTAAAGGGTAGCTCATAATTCAGTCAATGTTTATATTGTTACCTAAAACACTTCTCACAAATGATAGTTTCACTACAATTTTCCACATCCAGCCAATATTCTGAACCCTATAAGTAGGATAATAGAGAATGAAAACTTGCCTAGAGGTCTGGCTAAACATAAGTATGTCTCTCTATAGCAGAGGTGGGGAACAATGCCCCCTTTATGATTGTGGACTTCAACTTCCAGAATTCCTGAGCCAGCATGGCTGGCTCAATAATTCTGGGAGTTGAAGTCCACAAGTCATAAAGGCCCATCGTTCCCCACCCCTGGTCTACACATATGGGTTTGGGTGCAGACAGGAATATGTTGAGGAGAGAGGGAATAGTCTTGAAGGACACAGGAAGAGCTGCTCTCAAGATAATGGCCAAATTTAAGGGACTTGTGCCTATGCCAGGAAAGTAATATGAGTAAATGTCTCAAAAAGCCCTTCCCAAGTTTCCATAAAGATAAGGGGAGAGAGGACAAAGCATACCCAGATTTGCAAGATTGAATTATTATAGCTTTATAAAAAAAAAGTAGTCCTGATCTTGTTGACATTGGTTTCTGGTCTGGTCTACCATGAAGGACTGATGCTATGTATGATGCATGCCTGTGTGTATGTACAATTCTGGTTTTGCTGATGACCTTGGGGCTGAGAAGGTAATGCATTCCTATAATTGAAATACTATTGCCTACCTCTAGCATAGAATCTTACAGTCACAAAAATAATTTATTAGATGATTAGGGCCGCCATATTGGAGAGGCTTAAGTCAGCTTGAGGGACATTTGTGTGTGAGCGAGAGAAAGCTTTCAAAGCATAAAAGGAAATGTTTGGCATATGGGGAGGAGGGTCAATTAATGCAGACAGATATGCACATGTATCACATGTCTATAATTGTTAAGTCGTGATGTGGGCAATTTCCAGGAATTCTTTCAGCTGGAATTGGCTACTATAGATTGACAGGTGTGGCATTGCACAGGATTTTAAATCAAGTTTATAAAGCTGTCTGTCTGAGTCTTTTTGGAGAGTCACATTCAATTCAGAGTAATGTTTATAAGGAGGTTCTCAATAATCCAGTTCACGGTTATCCCAAAGGTGCTTTTCCAAAAGGCAACTGGGCCTTCTTAGTTTTTTTCCTTGAAAATGTTTTGCTTCTCATCCAAGAAGCTTCTTCAGTTCAGTTCAGTTCACTTCAGGACTGAAGAAGCTTCTTAGATGACAAGCGAAACATTTTCAAGGAAAAAACTAAGAAGGCCCAGTTGCCTTTTGGAAAAGCACCTTTGGAATTCAGAGACATCTTTTTCTTTATATATTTATTTATTGATTAAATTTGTTTGCTGCCCATCTCACTGCAAGATGACTCTTTTGTGGAGGATAAAGCATTCCTGAAAAATGTTTCCCTACACCAGTACGGAAGAACGAAAAAATGCCCAGAAGCAAAGCCAAATGCAGAAAGACTTGAGTTCCACTGGCACATAGAATAAATTATTAACTTTATCACTGAGGAGACATATTTATAAATAGGTCTCTGCCACAGATAAGTGTTTCTGCTTCATCTTATCTGGCCAGATCCTGGGGTACAAACCAGTAGTGAAATCCAATTTTTTTTTACTACCGGTTCTGTGGACATGGCTTGGTGGGCGTGGTGTGGCTTGGGGGGCGTGGCAGGGGAAAGATACTGCAAAATCCCCCATTCCCTCCCCACTCCTGGGGGAAGGATATTGCAAACTCTCAATTCCCTCCCCACTCTGGGGCCAGCCAGAGGTGGTATTTGCCGGTTCTCCAAACTACTCAAAATTTCTGCTACCAGTTCTCTGAACAGTTCAAAATTTCCACTACCAGTTTTCCAGAACCTGTCAGAACCTGCTGGATTTCACCCCTGGTACAAACTCACCATACAGAGGAAAGTTTCTGAAATTTGAATTTCATTCAGAACTGAACACCAGCTTCTGTTATAATAACAGTTAGCCAGATTCAGAAATAATATTTTTAATTACTATTATGTATTACTCCACTTATTACTTTGAAATAATAGATAATATACCAAAAATGAATATGCTCGCAGAGTATGTCTGTCTCCATTGAGAAATCACAATGGGTTCTTAATAGTTGCGGGTTTACAGTAGAAAATGATGCTACAGCAAGCTTATCCTTTCAAAAATCAGCCACAAAGCCCTCCACTTCTAAAAGAAAATGTAGAACTAGAATGTCTTGTTTCTCTGGGTCATATATGTGTGTGTATGTGGGTATACGCATAATTTTTTGTCATGTTCATGTAGTGTACATTGGAGGTGGTTATCCTTTGATCTCATTTGAATGTATGCTGATTAGTGTAGATTTAAATTGCCAGTAGTTATTATTCTGTTCTGTTCTGTTCTGTTCTGTTCTGTTCTGTTCTGTTCTGTTCTGTTGTCCTATCCTATCCTATCCTATCCTATCCCTATTCCTATTCCTATTCCTATTCCTATTCCTATTCCTATTCCTATTCCATTCTAGAAAAAGAAGGAAATGTATGTGTCACCCAGCATCTATGTGAAGTCTGCTTCATTAAACTCTCTGCAAAGAAAGGGAAGTGGGGTGATGTCATAACATAAAATCTCCCCAAATGATGAGAATTACACACTTGAATCATATGTAATTTGTGTTATTTTCATAGTGATGTCATGATGCATCATTTTGACATCATCATTCTCTTTATTTTTCCTTTATGGAAGATAGGCAGTTTGGAAGATGTTTGGGATTTCTCATTCTAAGAGCTGAACTGCTTGTGTGTGTGTGTGTGTGTGTGTGTGTGTGTGTGTACACACACACACACACACATATATTAGTCTTTAGTCCTTTTCAGTTTCTAGTGCTGATGGGTCCATTTTTTATATATATCTGTTATAATTTTTGAGAAGAAACTTGATAATCCTGTCTCTCACAGTCAAAACAATAATCATGGCTCATCATTTTATGAATCTCATTGTTAAGTAAGTCCATTTAACTTTATATAAATAAATAAATGCCTAAGAAGTAGTCACGACCCCAAGCTATATATACTGTCTTCTAATGTCTTTCTCAAAAACAACTCCTGATTATCCTAAGCTTCATTCATTATAGTAGCATAATTGAGAGGGAACAAGAAAATGCTCCAATCCTATGTTATATCTTCCCCTTAGAATTTAAGACTTGCTTCATGCCTTCTAGTGCTCTGGAAGCTGTTAAAGATGCTCTACTTCCACATACCATTTCATTAAACAGTTGGTTCCTGCCATCACTATTTAAATTTCCTTTAACTTTAGTTAACTTTTTTTTTGTATCTGCTTTCATTACGAATTCATTTTTCTCTGTTCTTATCAGGGTGGATAAAAATCAATGATTTTTTTTAAAAAAATCAAAAAAAATCAGATTTTTTTTATTTAAATCAGATTTTTTTTATTTTTATTGAATTTATTTTAATAAAAAACTTTTGGGGTAAAAATCTATCGTAAAATAGTTTTCTATTTAAGATACATAAATAATTTAGTTTATTCAGCATGAAATGGAGCTTGGTTATGTAGCATGAGGCTGTATATTCTGCAACACTGGGACTATCGGTGAGTCAACAGTGGGTCAAAGGAGTAGCAGAGATGACAGTTGCTCTTTAACAATTATGATTTAAATCGAGTTGATTTAAATCAAGCCTTTTTACTAGTGATTTAAATCATGATTTAAATTGTGATTTAAATCGACTTGATTTAAATCAAATCCACCCTGGTTCTTATTACCATTATCACAATTATTTTGTATTTTTAATATTGGATTCATACTTGTTTATTTTTATTTCTATTAGAAACAGAAATACACAGAATAGAATATTCTTCAATGACATGTGATAGGATAGAATTATTCTATGACATCTTAACTGCTTATGGATATTTGCTTATGAGCTTTATTATAAACCGCCATGAGTCTCAGCAGGAGAAATAAATGAATAAATGAATAAATGAATAAATAATCAATCAATCAATCAATCACAGGTAGAAGTAACTGGAAAGTGTTTTAATTCTTTATTCATTGGCTGGAGAGAATAACACAAGCTTTTTGACAACATGCAGTCCCTAATGCAATACTATCAAAAGATGATGCATCATGGCAAGATGGCCAACACCCTCAATCACTTCAATTGTAGAAAGCAGAATATTTGAGAATCCAATTCCAAGAAAAAGAACTTCTACAACCTAATGAATTCTAAACAGTGGTTTTAAAAAAAAAATCTTGGAATGGATTTTTGTTCTTTTGAAGTCGCTGTACTCATTAGAGTTTGTGCACCTAGATCAGATTTCTGGAACAAAAACTACCATTTGTATGGAAGGCCAGGGAACTTCGACAACTATGTAGTTGTTATTCTGACCAAAAAGATGGGCTATACTTAGAAAAAGAGCCGAGGTGGCGCAGTGGTTAGAGTGCTGTACTGCAACTACTTCAGCTGACTGCTAGTTCAGCAGATCAGCGGATCAAATCTCACCGGCTCAAGGTTGACTCAGCCTTCCATCCTTCTGACGTGGGTAAAATGAGGATCCAGATTGTTGGAGGCAATATGCTATTTAGTATACTGTCAATTGTTGTAAGCTGCCCAGAGTCCTCGGAGAGTGGGCGGCATAGAAATATGATTAATAAAATAATAATAATAATAAAACCACTAGTTGAGATTTTCAAATGTTTTTAAAGAATATCCATGAAGGTGACAAGGAGTAACATTCTCTTTATGATCAGATATGTAGAAGACTTTATTCTACATGGCCAGGCATGTATAAGTCTTTATTATATATATGAAGGGAGAAGAATATTAGTATAGTATCTTTGAGAGTCATAAAGGTGAAATTTTCTTCTTAGTTTTAGTCCTTTTCTTTCTGTCCTTCATCATTATATCTACTGATCTCTGCATCTCTGTATCTGTTTTTCACCTTGGCAGCGCTTCTTTGACAATAATTGTGTGGTATGCAAATTGTACTATTTTGTAGTACTAATCTGTCAGAAATATGGTTAATCCTGATTTCTGGAATTAAGTTCTCCTTTTAGCATTTTGCTTTCTTCTTACACTAGCACACTCCACTTATTAAACAGACTCACACAATCACCACAAGAAGTCCAAAAGGGAAAGCAATCTAATCTAAGCACCAGAAGGGAATAAATACTTTGGAATGTCAAATGTATGCTTGCATTAACTATAGTAATCACTATAAAATAAATTTTGGGTGAAAAGTCAATTAGTTTAAATAGCTGTTTTTAAAAATAGTGCAGCCCCTCTCCTAAAACAATGTATTTGTTTTCCAAGTTAATACGAATTTGTGAATAAAACATTAGTATAAAATGTTAGCAAGAGTATGTTTAAGAAAAAAGCCAGTGCCAAAAATACATGGAAAAATGGTTGACTTGATAGAATCAAAGTATATGATTCTGGGGCAAATATCTTGCTTAAAGTAATGGATTCACCAAAATACAAATACAGAATGGGTTACTAGTCATGGACATTGTTCCAAAGGGTTTAGGAGAAGTTTTTCTGAATTTCTAGTGTGCTGTCAGGGTCTATGGCCAACTTTATAGTAGATTGATTACTGAATGTTAAAAATAAGACTGTCCCAATCTTTTTAAAAAAGTCTTACAGCTGTAGGGTAGCACAGTCCTCCAGAACTTCCTATTGGCCCAGCATAGTGCACCCCTGCAGATGTTCCTGCTGGTCCCGCATAACACACCCCTGCAGGAGTTCCTAGTGATCCAGAGTAACACACTGCTGCAGGACCTCCTGCTGAGCTAGAGTAACACACACCACCTGCTGCACCTACTCCTACAGAGGCTGGGTTCCCTTCAGCTGCAACCCCCATTGGGACTCCTGCTGTAGAGCACCACCTTGCATCCCCAAATGGAGCAATCCCTGAGGATTCATAACCTCCGCGGGGGTAGTTTCCATCTGGGTAATTCCCTACCACAGTCGTAGACCTATATCCCCTTCCTCCACCACAGACTGATCCATAGGCAGTCCGTGTGCTGAATCCTGCACCTGGGCCATGGCCGGCACCTCTGCCAGCCTCTTCTGTTGAGGCTCGGCGCCTGCCTGCAGAAGAATTACCAGAGCAGGACTCATTCCTATAGCTATGCCCTCTTCCTTGGTAGAACTCTGCATCTGCTGATACATTCCCAGTAGCTATATTGCTCCTTCCATTACTTTGATCAAATCCAGTACTTCTGGAGCTGTAGTTCCTATTGCTTCTCCCCTGACTTCCCATTCCATACCCTTTACCAAATCCCATATCATATCCTCCACCCACATATCCACTTGAAAATGGGAATCCAGCTGCATTCTCTGTCCCAGGTTTGATCACATCTGCAAGAAAAAGTAGAAAAGTCAACTTGTGTGAGCCAGAGGACAGATCCAGAGAGCTATGGAAACCTATTTCCTACTTAACTTTGCAATACTATTGCTTTAATACTTTCAAGAATGTGTAATGAAAGTGATAAATGAATCCCTTCTAACTCTTCTTCCAAAGTAAACTAAAAAAATTACAGCTTTGCTATAGAAAAAGTTTGCCCACTAGAGAAAATCCTCACAAAAATGAGAATAAACCAATTATAAGAAATAAGAAGACAACCATTTGGTCATACTAGCTACCCTGTTTCCCCGAAAATAAGACATCCCCTGATAATAAGCCCAATTGGGCTTTTGAGTGCATGCGCTAAAATAAGCATCCCTCCAGAAATAAGCCCTCCCTGAAAATATTTAAATGCAGAGCTGGAAATCAGATAAGATGGCAAGAGGAGCCCCATCTTGCTCCATGCACCCCAAAATAATAAGACCTCCCCGAAAATAAGGCCAAGCGCTTATTTTGGGGTTCAAAAATATAAAACAGGGTCTTATTTTGGGGAAAACATGGTAGAAAACCAATGCATCTCTCCTGCCAGGTCTTTAACAGTTGAGTTTGTTTAGGTTGTTGGTATTTCTTTTTTTTAAAAAAAAACAGGATTGTTATTGTGCAAAGGCTATTTGGATTTAACTTTTCTATTTTTAGTGTTGTGAGCCACCTTAACTGATAGCTGAATAGGAAAGTAATAATATATAACGAAGTAGATGTACAGAGGATGGAAGATTTAGATAATAACTATTGCAGCCTGGAAGAAAATTGTACACACATCAACTGATGAACATGGACCAGTTCAGTCCTTAATCTTGATTTTCCCAACATAACTGTTGTTGTTGTTTTGTACTTTTGAGTCAGTTTTTAACTCGTGACGAATGCCTGGACAGGTCCCTGCAGATTTCTTGGCAAAATTTCAGAAGTGAGTTGCCATTGCTTCCTTCCTAGGGTTTAGCAGGGGTGTCAAACTGGCGGCCCACGGGCCAGATGCATCACATGCAGGTCACACTCACCCCAGCTCCATGACGGCAATGTGACGCAGTGAGTTTGACACCCGGGGTTTAGAGAGACGGACAAGCCCAAGATCACCCTGCTGGCTTTATGCCTAAGGTGGTACTAGAACTCACAGTCTCCCCATTTTCAGTCTGCTGCCTTAACACCAGCTGGCTCAAACTGACGCTATAGCATAAGTGCAGTCGCTAAAAAGAAGACCAAACATATAACTGATGACATAACCCACCATATTTTCATGCTTTTTACTTACCTATACAGACAGGATTTCCTAAGTGTATCCTATGGGGAGAAAAAGAAGATTCTATTGCAATCAGATAGCCTTATGACTTACTTCAGATAGATAACCCAGATCCTTGTCCTGCCCATGGCCTTTTGTAATTGTAATTTTGTAATTGTAATTAATAGGCAGTTGGCAAATTTTTCTTCATTTTATTTGAGGTGGGTTTGGCTTATAAAGCTATTGGAATGCACTTGTGCTGAAAATCATAAATACAGGTAGTCCTTAACTTATAACCATTCGTTTAGTGTCTGTTCGAAGTTGCAACGACACTGAAAAAGGTGACTTATGTTTTTCACACTTACGACCGTTGCAGCATCCCCAAGGTTATGTGATCAAAATTTGGATGCTTGGCAACTGGTTCATATTTATGACTCTTACAGGGTCCCAGAGTCATGTGACTTTCTTTGCGACCTCCTGACAAAATAAGTGAGATTCACTTGACAACTCTGTTGGTAACTTAACAGAGAGATTCACTTAACAACTGTGGCAAAAAAGGTCATAACATGAGACAAAATTTGCTGAACTGTCTCACTTAGCAACAGGAATTTTGGGCTCAATTACAGCCATAAATTGAGGACTAGCTTTATACATTATTAATTCCTGACACATCCACCTATTGGTTTATGTCCACTAATGACAGAGGAAGGAAAACTGTCTTAAACCACATTTTTTTTTTCTGGCAGTAGGAAGAACGAATACAAAGGTATGACCTTTCATGACCTAATTATAGACATTCTGATCTGGAAGCCAAAACTAACTTTAGCTTAAAGATTCCCACCTCAGAGAAGCTAGAGACCATGAAGAAAATCCTCGGGAATCCTATCGTAAGAAAAATATCTCCAAGAGACTTCCAGACAGAATTTGCCCTGTGGCTAAGGTTTATTTAAGGAACAAATTTCTGTCTCGGGGAAATACTAGGTTCCTTCTCAGCTGACAAAGTCGCCTGAGTGAAAAGGTGGAGAAAAGAATCAGAAGGAGTTTCACATTCTGGGGGTTCACAGGGGTTCAGGAGAACCGCTAGCTAAGATTCTGTGCAGTTCAGAGAACCTCCAAATCCCACTCCTGGCTGGCCCCACCTGCTCCTCCCCACTCCTCCCAGGAGTCCCCACATGGCCCGTTTTGGATGCAGGTAAGTGCAGGGCATGCACAGAGGCTTGGAGAGGGCAAAAAACAGGCCTACTGGAAGTTTGGCCTCCAAAGGACCTCTGGAGCCTGTGGAGGCCGTTTTTGCTCTCCCGGTGGCTCAAAGAAAGCCTCCGGAGCATGAGGAGGGCAAAAACGCCCCCCACTGTGGTGCAGGAGGCAGACTAGGCCATACCCACCATGGCCACGCGCACCCAATAATCGGGCAGAGAATCCTTTGCTAAAATTTTTGAAGCCCACCCCTGGATATATTGAATGTCATTCATAGTCACCTGCTCTCCTCTCCCTCCAGCAATGTCTTATAGGTAGCAATTTCAATGTCAAGAGCGATCTTGGTGTTCAGAAGCTCTTGGTAATCTCTTAGCAGCCTTGCTAAGTCATCCTTGGCCTTCTGAACAGCAGTTTGCAGATCGATATGCTTATCCCGGGCATCTTTCAGGGTACAGTCTCCATGCTGCTCAACCTCACAAATGGATGTTTGGAAAGTATTAACCTGTTCAGAACAGACAAGCAAAGTCGATACTGAATCAACGAATGGGAAAATGGCACTGCAGTGCATGCCAATTTGTAATAATGCAAATAAGGAAAAAGAAACACATTTTTAACATGTCAGATTGCGGACTTGAAGGGAAAGCCAATAGCAAAAAAAAAAAAAGGAGAGTCAAGGCTAAGAACTGAGAAGCATTTCTGTGTTTTTAATTTAGAATTGGGAGAAGGCATCCAGTCAAAATGAAACAATAGTTGAGCTAAGCAGAAATTAACATTAGCTTGAAAACATCTGAAGGGAGAAATGAAAGCAACATCAACATTAAAAAAAGAAGGGAAAATCACCATAATTGCAACGAGAGAGAAAAGAAAGAAAAGAGGGAGAACTACTGTCCAGGAGGACTTGATAGGACAAGAGAGAAAATGAAGCGACTGATACAGACAGAAAAGTTGGAATAGGATGTAAAAAATGAAAAACACAAAGAACTTGGCCACAAAATCCAAATTGTTCAAAAAGCAAGAGGAATTTAGAATCCTATAGTAAGGACAATAAATATTAAAAACATGGAAACCCAGCTGAAGCAATAGCCATACAAACGGGCGTGCTTTCTTTCATTCTTTATATTGGTTTTCAGCTCTATTTCTCGACTTTCAATTTCTTGGCTCACAAGTTTGGCTCAAGGGAATTGACTAGCAAATCATCCATGATTAAGAAAATGAAAAACGAATCCCAAATAAAGGAGACAAAAAATAACGTAGATTTGCCTAAAAGATGTACTTGTGAGTAATAGCTTCCCTGTCCATAAAAATAGATCACAACTCAATTTGGAGAAGAAAACTAACTAGGCAACCACCATGAGTACTAAGTCTGTTGCTCAGCTATTGACCATTGATGGACAACTTCAAGGCCCCTGCCTTGCCATCTTCTGGGTCCTTATCTTTAAATTTGACCTTAGTTGAAGATTCCTCAAACAGAAGGGGCCTTAAATTACCAATTCAAATAAAGATTGTCCTCTACCAAACAGGAGGATTATAATCTCATAATGGAGCCAATCAAGAACAATCGCAGAAAAGAGAATCTGTTAAAATTAGCACTACCTTTAGATCTAGCGGGAAAAAAGGGAATTTTATATTTATAGGATTTTGATGGAAGCCATGATGACAGCAAGCCTGTCACAATGCCATCACGCACAAACGATGTAAATTACATAATTCAGGTCAGTCGCATTGTGATATTATGGTGCAAATAATACATGTGTGATATCACTGATATTCCCATAGATGCCCAAGCTTGCTTTTATTCTTGTTTAAAGTATTTTACCTCAAAGAAAGCCTGTTGTCTGACATAAACAGAGGATATTTTTTTTTTTAAATTTGATTTATATGCTGCCCTTCTCCGAAGACTCAGGACGGCTTACAATGTGCTCAGCAATAGCCTTCATCCTTTTGTATATTTATACAAAGTCAGCTGATTGCCCCCACAATCTGGGTCCTCATTTCACCTACCTTAGAAAGGATGGAAGGCTGAGTCAACCTTGAGCCTTGGCGAGATTCGAACCTGCAGTAATTGCAGGCAGCTGGTCTTAATAACCAGCTTAATAACAGGGTGCCTTAAACCCCTGTACTACCAAGGCTCTAAATATAAATATCTAGATATAAATATTCCTATCATGTGTGAAGCCATAGTGTCAGTACGCAAACCAGCAGATGTGATAATGCTATTTATGGAGGACAGCTGAGATTAAAAAAAAAAAAAAAACACAGCAATTTCCACAAATTGCCAATGTTTTCCTAAGTGCTGGACATAAACAGCATATTTTAACCCAAGTGGAAATGTTCACAAAAAAATTGACAAGTTTAGACTCCACAATGAGGTTTCCAGAAATAACTTCAATGGGTATATTGAAACAAACAGATCCTAGATGAGGAATAACCCACCAGAGTTGCCCCTACCTGCTTTTTAATAATATCATATTCAGACTGCAATTTATGAACCAGACGTGTCAGATCTGCAATCTCTTGCTGGTTGATCTTCAGAGTTTGAGAATATTTGCCTCTTTGTTGCTGAAGCTCCTGGAACTGATATCCAAGACAAAAAAAAAATGTTAATAATATTGGCACCACATGGAATGTGCCATTTACATCTTGATAAATTCCTATTGGATTGTGAGGAATAAGCAAAAATCCTCAGTGGTAGTTCTAGGCACACACACACATACACACACATACACACGCACCCAATTTCAGCCTGTTTTGACCTAAGGGACATGCTCAGTGGTGAGTTGCCCCCGGTTCGCACCGGTTCTATAGAACTGATAGTAAAACCGGCGGGAGGCTCCGCCCACTGACCCCGACGTCATCAAAACGCTTCTGCGCATGCGCAGAAGAGCGCACACACGGCCCCGCTGCGAACCGATAGTAAAGGTAAGTAGAACCCACTCCTGGACATGCTAAAGAGAACAGGGTCAAGACAAAAATGGTGGGACAGAAAAAAAGGAGCATGCATTAATATTTCATGAATTAAGTATTGTTCCTCTGGAACATGCCAAGTAGATGTTTTGGAGAATGTCAGGGAAAGGAATTGAAAAATGGAATGAATTCCATAAGACCCATCTAGTTTTCCAAACAGATGCGAAGACCCCAAACCCCCATAACTTACTCGGTTTTCATAAAAAGTATTAACTTCTTCTTTGCTCCCTTGGGCAACGTTTTGATACCATGCTTCCACGTTTTTGATGATGTAGTCAATGTCCAAGTCTCGGCTGTTGTCCATTTGCAAGAGGATATTGGTGTCGTAAACTTTGTTACTGAGTTGTGCTAATTCCTGCAAAATCATTGAAAATCTGTGGCTGAACCAGGTAGGAAAGGCTCTTGCACCTCCAGCATTACATTAACATAAAACCAAACCATGGCATATGACTTGACTGCAACAGGAGCTTCCCTAAAGCTACTAGGTTAAATGAAATATGTGAAAGTATCATGTGTGAAAGCTGATTTAGTGAAGCATATTCTTCATCTTTTAATAAGAACGTTGCAACTACAACTGATTATTTTCCTGATGAAACCTCTGATGCTCTATAGTATATACTGTATATTCCTCCTGTCTTTGAAAATCCTTCCCACTGGGCTTGTACCAGGCCAGATTAAGACCAATTGATGTCCTAAGCAAAATAGTGCCCCTGGGCCCTTCCATTGCTTCAGTATTGCAGTATTGCAAGCAAACTCTGCCCATAGACAGAAGTTCGATCCTAACTTGCTCAAGGTTGACTCAGCCTTCCGTCCTTCCAAGGTTGGAAAAATGAGGACCCAGATTGTTGGGGGCAATATGCTGACATTCGTAAACTGCTCAGAGAGGGCTATAAAACACTGTGAAGCGGTATATAAAATGCTACTGCTATTAAGCCTCAAAAAGCACCTTATTGCTCAAGGCTAGGTTGTTTTGAGGCATGCTGGAAATAAAAATGTTGGTTACCATTGTATAAAAAAAAATTAAGAATACTGAGAGGGACATTCACTCCTATAGAAGCTCAAACCATTTAAGGGAAGTATATTCTGAGATACTTCAACCCAACTCTAGGAGCATGGATTGGTTGCGCTCATAGGAAAGCTAATTTATTTATCTAATTTCTATAGCCAAATGATTCTGGGTGGTTTACAAAAGAATGAAAACAATTAAAAGGACATTAAAAACAAGAAAAACATCCACAAAACAAATAAATATAAACTGCGACCATGATGATTAATCAGCTAATAGTAAACCCAACTAACGGGCCCCTTCGCAAATTATTCTGACAGAGTTGGAGCTGCTTCTAAGAGATTTCCTTTCTCCTTTCTTTGTATCTTGTCATTTCCTGTGCATCGGTGGGCATTGCTTTTTATATATCCGTGTTTCCCCAAAAGTAAGACCCTGTCTTATATTTTTTTGAACCCTGAAATAAGTGCTTGGCTTTATTGCCATGTGTCAAAAGCCCAATTGGGCTTATTATCAGGGGATGTCTTATTTTGGGAGAAACAATGAATACTAGAACCTGAAACAAATGCCTATGAATCTAATTTTCACCCAGCTGCTTTTCTTTAGAAAATTACAGAACACCATAAGAAGGAATCCTGTCCTTTCTGGTCTTTGTGTGGCTGGTGGCATAGGAAATCCAAATTAGCAAGAAAGCTTGTTTGGACGGGAGTCAATGTTCATATTCTTTCCCCTATGAGTCAATTCTATCTAAAATAATCTCAGGGTTGTTCTTACCTCTGCGTAGATACCACTGCGAAATTCCAATTCTCCGCTGAGCAAATGTACTTTCCCTTCCAGTTCCGACTTGCTCAGAGAAATGGAGTCTACATCCTGAAGATGATAGAACAGATAATTAAACATTTTTCAGTTTGGAAATATTGTCTATGTCCAGGCAACCCTATCATTAGGCAGAGCAGGAGGGTAGATCCTTGGGGGGGGAGGGTAAGGAGATTAGTAGAACCTGACACTTCCACTTAAAGACACAGGTGCATATCCCAAAGGGTCTAGACTTAACTGAATGCCCTCAATTCACAACACTGGAGAGGCTGCTGACTCATGAGGAAAAGTAAACCAGTTTTAAAGCTGGTGAATTCTTGGATTGCTCAAAATAGAGCAGAAATTATGAAAACAGGCAGCAAGTAAGTCTGATGAAGTAGAAATGGAAAGTTGGTTAAAATATTCCACACTACCTTCCCCATTCAAGGATGGCACATAATTTGGGGGTTCTCCTTGGACTGGCAACTATGTCCAGGAAAGCAACTGTGTCCAAGGAAGGCCTTAATCTGGTGTGCCAGTTGCAGTCTTTCTTAGACCAGGGGGCCTTTGAGACAATCGCTCATGTCTTAAGTCACCTCACAGCTCTGTTCACACCATCCATACAAGCCAGGGCTGTCAAAGTCCCGGCCTGTGGGCTGGATGCATCATGTGCTGGCCATGCCTACGCCCGGTTTAGCGAAGGGGGAAAAAGTTCCGATACATCACATGATGATGCCGTGATGATGTGAGTTGACACCCCTGATATAGACTATTCAGAAGCTGCAGTTGGTTCAGAATGCAGCACTGTGGGCAATGGTGAGCTTGCCTTGGTATGCTCATTTAACACCTCTGCTTTGTGAGCTGCACTAGTTGCCAATTTACTTCCAGATGTTATTCAAGTTTCTGATCATTACCTATAAAGCCCAACATGGCATCAGGCCTGGTTACTTGAGTGACTGCCTGTCTTCCATAGTATCTGCCTGGCCAATCCTATCTGCAGAGTTGGCATGCTCTGGTTCTTTGATTTAAAAATGTCATCTATCAGGATCCTGGAAGAGCACTTTCTCTGCCCTCTGGAATGAAATTTTCCTGAAATTTGAACAGCTCCCCTCACCCTATTGGTGTTTTAAAGGATCGTCACCCAGGCCTTTAGTGGGCATGAGTGAAGCCCTCTTTAGTTTGTGTTTGATTTCCCTCTACTGTATTTGTTCCAGCTCTAGTATACTTCTCAAAATGTGGGGATCTGAACTGTTCCCAGTGTTCTGGATACAGGCACGCTGATTTACTTTTGATAGAGGTTAAGACAAAAACAGTCCACTTTGTGTGTTTTCTCTATGAGGAAAATGTGAGGATGCCTTTCGTTTCCTGCTGAAAAAAAAGAGGCCCATCTATCAAAGGTAAAATAGCACCTTGAGAATCACTCATTGGGGAATATGGCAAGTGATCTCTTACAGCAATAGAGAATGGGTTTGGTCCCTGGGAAAGCAGGAAGGCAGGAAAGAAGGCAGGCAGGCAGGCAGGCAGGCAGGCCTTCTTTCGCAGTAGAATTTTGGTTAGTTTAAGGCATTAATCCAGAAATCTTACCTTCTTGAGCAGCACAAATTCATTTTCTGCATCTGTGCGTCTTTTGAATTCCTGTTCATATCTGGAAACATGGAATAAGAGCTCTGTACCATTCGAAGCATGACACTCTGTGAGTCACCGCAAGCCAAAAAAGGATAAAGACTACCTTTCCCATAAAACAATATAAAGTAAATTGCTTAGGCTATTTACATATTTTGAATGCCCTTGCCCATTCATTTTCTTGTGCATTAGTTATCATTTTCTTTTTTATGTAATTGAAGTGCATGAGATATATATTATATAATGTTAATAACATATATATATGCTGTATTTAATATAGAGCTGGTTTGGTCTAGTGGTTAAGGCACAGTCTAGAAACCAGGAGACAGTGAGTTCACAACACCTTAGGCATGAAAGTTGGTTGGGTGACTTTAGACCAGTCAGTTTCTCTCAACCTTATCTACCTCACAGGATTGTTACTGTAGGGAAAACAGAGAAGGAGGAATGTTTACCACCTTGAATTATTTATAATAGCAGGATATAAATTTTAAAGAGATTGCTACTCTATTACTTTTGTAAAAGAATCCAAAATATTTTATTCCATCCAATGGAGCATTGCTCGCTAGCCAGTTAATGTATCCCTTCTTGTGGTTATTTGATTGGCTTCCATGTTTCAAAAAAAAAAAAAGTCATATAAATTGTCATGAGACATGGACAAAATATTGAATATTCAAGTGCTATTAGGCATTCTTTAGCAGAAAGAGCATCAAATATTTATTTATTTAATAAACGCTGTTCAGGGCAGTTTTCTTTGTACTGTAGAACAACTGGAAGGAATTTATGAAACTTCTAAAAACTGATCATAATTCATCAGCTATTTTTGAATATTTTAATCAAGTGTCTAAATTGTGCTGGAAAGTTTTAAAAAGGCAATTCCGTTTGGGCTGGAGAACAAAAATGTATCTAAGAAGCATGTTTAAAAGTTCTTATAATCAAACAATAAGGAAGTATTGCAGAAGATGAGACTTGAGAACTGAGGACTATGGAAAACATAATTTCGAGCTTATTCAGAATTTTAGAGAGTTTTATGAATGTGTTATAGGACATTACCTCCTGTAGATTATATTACTTTAATTCCACCTTGCTTTAACTCTCTTTTTAAATCTTTTAAATATTTTCCAGTTCACAAGGAAAGAAAGCAAAAGTTGAAAAAAAAACGTTATTTCAATTTGTGTAGCTCGTCTCCTCTTTTTAATTGAGACAATTGCTACGTGCTTCAAAAATATTGAATAAAATGAGTTATCTAGTTCCATGTTAGTGCCAATGGGTACTCCAGCTGAGAACATTAAAGAATCAGAGACTCAGAATATATCTTTTTTCCCCACATTATTTTCCTCCTCCTCCTCCACCTCCTCCTGATCACCATTACATTACTTGCACTTGAAGTCCTCCACCAGCTGGTCAATGGCAACATTTTCATTTCTTAGATGCTCCTGGGTATTTAATATACATTGCAGTTCCTTTCTCATGTTGCTGATGAAGTTTTCGTAACATGGTTCAAGGTTTTTCTTGGCTGGAATGACCTGTTCTTGCAAAAGGTTCCATTTGGTCTCAAGGACTTTGTTCTGCATCTCTAGGTTTCGGACCTATTTCATAAACCAGAATCCAATAATAGCATAAATTAGATAACGATTCAAGACTTGACTTTATCTCTGAAACGAAATTTACTTTTGTCTGCTTTTCGTTCTATATAAATTCATTAAAATTAAATGTAGTTCATTACAGATATGATTTCTCTGTGATCATGTGTTTACTAATGTCTTACTTTCTGTCAATTCAGATCTTTATTGTCAGTGCACTGTCATAGTACGCATTACAATTTCTTAACCTCTAGAGATCTCTGGGACCAGAGTCCAATCTTCTGAAGTTCTGGAGCTTTAGGATATACACTTCCAAGACAAACAATGAGGCATATTGGGTATCTGCAGAGAAGGAAAGGGGGACCCAAATACACATGCGGTTAATGTCACCATCACCTATTGTGATTCCAAAAAGATTTTGGAGTACAAAGACCTAATGGTGGCATCTGAGTGACCTAATCATCACTCATGCATCATCAGTTTGGCATTGAAGTGATTTGCTTGGTTGATGCTGGAACCCTTTTCTCTTGGAGTAAGCCGAGTTACAAACTTTATTAGTATTGAATTGTACTGTATAGTCCAATGATATTTTAAGTAGCATAAACATTTACATCAAAATGCATATTAAGCACAAATAACAATGCACATTACAAAACATATTTTTGCTAGCAATGTAAATCACGTATGAATAGCTCTAGAAAGCCTGAGTCTCTGTGCCGCTGCCTGTAAAATGTTTAACAAAGGTTTGTAGAGAAATCAAAATATGAATTCTTTTTCATTATTGAAATTTTCCATATTAATTTCCCCAGGCCTGGGGGCCAGAAGAGCAAGCGAGCCCACACCATTGATGAAGGATGTTTTCATGAGCCACATTGTACTAATCAGTTGGGAACAATATTTTTTATATATTGTGTTTATATTTTATTTTAATTCTTATTAGCTTCCCAGAGCTGCAGTCCTGAGATGGGCATTTGTAGAAATAGATATAAAGAAAATATAAATAAATATCAATAATTGGAACACATTTCTCATAGTTCGCAGCAAGTGTGCTTGGGCTGAGACCCAAAGTCCAACTCATCTGGCATACATCATACTAGGCAAGAGTGCATTATGTGGTATTACAAAATATAATCACCCAAAGCATGTTAAAAGAGCACATATTCTGCATTCTTGATTTGCTTTTCCAGTCAACATCACTGTACGGAACACTAAAACTAGTTTCATTTGAAAATGAAAATCCTTTCCAAGAGGCAAGTCCTTTCAGTGCACTCATCTAGAAAAGTAAGTTAAAATTCCAAGTAGGAAGAAAAAGAATAGAGAGCTAAATGAAAAGTCTAAAAGATCAGATGAAAATAACAATGCCAGATAAAGGAACCATCTTGTTTCTTCTATGGTAGTTTAGCAATCTCAATGAAATCCATTGCTACACGAGTAGAAATATAAGGCAAGAGTCTGCTAATATCTGACATATTTCTGGCTCAAAAAAATACATGTTGTATTTGGAGAAACTCCCTCTCTGTGTGTGTGTGTGTACATGATAGACAGACAGACAGACAAATAGATGATAGATAATGATGATTAGATAGATAGATAGATAGATAGATAGATAGATAGATAGATAGATAGATAGATAGATGCATACATAGGAAAGTTGTATACAAAATTGCATGATAAGGAAATTTGGGCACAAAATAAATGGATATTTGAAGGATGATTTTTTTTTAAAAAAAATTAAATGATGACATGATGTAGAATTTGGAATGACAGACTAATGATTCAATACATGGGGGGCTGATAATGACTGGGCACAAGATTTTAGCTTATGCAGCAGATTCGCATTTCAAAAAAAGCAGTTTTTCAACATTGGTCTTTATTGAATAATTCTGAGTCAATAATATTAGGTGCCAACTTTGAAAAGTAAACACTTAGACTTTAGCTCTATGTTGCAATCTCTCCTTAGAGAAAAAATAGAAGCCCAAAGAGGTCATATTTGAGGAACAGTGGGAATTTTTCCCATCAGTAGCCCCCAAAAGCTTGCAATGGTATAAATCAAAGAGGGTACAGTAGCTTGGCTTCTGTGTTTCACGGATGATCAAGCTCATCAGGAGTCTACACCCTCACTTCCTGGTACTTCCTCCAACAGAACAAGAAATTGTTCCAGTGTTATAGGTGGCATATTGAATGGCTTCACAAGTAAACCAACATGAATGGAGAAAGAAGATCTCCCCAGAGCCATACTTTGTACTCTTGGCTAACACAGACCAAGATTACTTAGGAAGCAGCAGAAGCTCTGCTATGGATCTCTCCATTTTAGAACTGTTCTCTGACTGAAGTAACCAAGTGATCAACATATTAAATTCTGAGTTACTTACATTGTTTTGCTTTTAATTCGATGCCTAAACAATCTCATAAAAATGGGCATTAGAGAAAACGTGGAAATTCAGACTTTTTTTTTAAAGAATGGACCAAAGTATATGAAGAGATAAGATAATGTATGCCAAAAGCTCAAATGATACCCGGTGAAACAGTTAACATATCTCATGGGATTTTATACCTTTTTTTAAAAAAACTTCAAGTCAAAGAGAAATCTATTTCCTCACCTTATCAATGAAGGTGGCAAACTGGTTGTTGAGGTTCTTCATCTCTTCCCTTTCATGATCTCGTAGAATATGTTCTTGAGGGTCAACTCCCACGTGCAATGGCTTCAGAAGCTTCTCGTTGATTCTAACTTCATGGATGCCATCCCCCCTGCCGTTCGCGTATCCGCCGAAAACCCCACCGCTTCCAACTGGACCGTAATGACCCACTGGGCCAACAAAGGCAGGACTACCATGACGTACACAACCATTGTTGTAGCCACCATAATATCCAAGTTCGTAACCACCAGGCGCAATTCTTCCTCTTCCACCCAAGCTGGAAAGGCTTTGGCTGCTGAAACCATGGACCCCACCTCTGCTGACTATGGGATGGTACAGGGAGGTGGCATAGGTCCTATGTCCACTAAGTCCACCGAAAGCAGAGGCAGAGCTGAACCCCGTTCCCCTTAGGAAGGTATTCCTGGTTGCTGACACCTGGTGAGTCATTGGGACAAGACGGGATGGTTGAGCCAAGGGAACAGGTGCCACAGAAGCAAAGCTGAGAGTGCAGCCCTCTAGCACACGACCTCAAAGCAAATGCTTATATACACTTGTGGAGGTGTCCTTGATTGGTTTAGCATTTTAATTTAGGAACTTTCGCAGGTTTGGCTTGCCTCAGGGACAGAAGTGCTTTTCAAAGTGCAGATAGGAATTGCTTTGTTTGCAAGCTTTCTTCAGAACACATGATGTCTGAAAATTGTTTCCCTCACATTATTATAGGCTACAAAGAAAGTGAAGGAAGTTTTTTCTTCCTTTACTGACCACATTCGGTAAACCAAGAGTATGCATGTTCTGCAACACTGCAGCTCAGCTCTCTCTTGTTAAGATCCTATTTTACTACTACCAAATAATTTATGGTAGTATCAGTAAAAACATGCATAACAAGGGGGAAAAAAATCTCTTGATGAAATCAGTACATACCAAGAAGGAGAACATTAGTAGAAATCCTATTTATAATTTTATTGTCCTATCTCCTAAGAATCCTATTCTTACACTTCATGACTAACATAGAAGTTAAGGTTCCTTCTCCTAAGACTCACAAACACAAGTAAACACCGACACAAAATTCCCATAAAGAATAGTTTTATGAAACCCACTTCACAAAATAGTGCTCTGTATTTTCAATCATAGCAAACCCTACTCTGGCCTATCATCATGATCATGATCATCACCATCATCATGATCATCATTATCATCATCATTTTAGCCATTGTCTATCCAGTGCAAGATGAAGGCTTCTTCTGTATGTTTCCAACCCATAGAGTCCTGAGCTTTCTTTTGCCAATTGGGCCCGCAATACTTGTGGATGTCATCGATCCATCTTGTTTTAGGTCTCTTTCATGGATGCTTTTTATCAACTGGGATCCATTCTATGACTGCCTTGGTCCAGCTGCCCTCAGTTCTTCTGACTATGTAGCCAGCCCATTTCCATTTCAATTCTTTTACTCTCTTGCTGATATCTTATACTTTGGTTTGTTCCAGTGGTGGGTTTAAAAAAGTTTTAATACCAGTTCTGTGGGCATGGCTTGGTGGGCATGGCATGGCTTGGTGAGCGTGGCTTGGTGGGCATGGCAGGGGAAGGCTACTGTAAAATCTCCATTCCCACCCCACTCCAGGAGAAGGATACTGTAAAATCTCCATTCCCTCCCCACTCCAGGTGAAGGTTAGGGCAAAATCCCCATTTCCTCCCGATCAGCTGGGACCCGAGAGGCAGAGAATAGATGGGGGCGAGGCCAGTCAGAGGTGGTATTTACCGGTTCTCCGAACTTCTCAAAATTTCCGCTACCGGTTCTCCAGAACTGGTCAGAACCTGCTGAAACCCACCTCTGGTTTGTTCTCTAATCCATGTGCAGGTTTTTCTATCTTGTGTTGTAAAACCAAGCACGTACCTTTCCATGGCTCTTTGTGTCACTGGTAGCTTTTGTATTGATTGTGAGGTTAGTGTCCATGTTTTACTGGCATATGGTAGAGCAGGTAGCACACACTTTTCTCTTCAGACATAGAGGTGAGGTTGCTCCTGAAAGCTATACATCTCCACCCCGGACCACCCCAATGATGCCCTTAAAGTGATGTCCCAGTGCCTGGAGGCTGTACGGATCTGGATGGGGAGGAACAGACTCAGGCTCAACCCATCCAAGACCGAGTGGCTGTGGTTTCCGACGTCCCGATATAGTCAATTGGTGCCATCACTGACTATTGGGGATGAGTCATTGCCCCCCACGGAGAGGGTTCGCAACTTAGGCGTCCTCTTGGACTCACGGCTGTCTTTAGAAGAACACTTGACGGCTGTGGCCGGGAGGTCTTTTTATCAGGTTCGCCTGATTCGCCAGTTGCGTCCCTTTCTGGATCGGGACTCGTTAAAAACGGTCACTCATGCCCTCGTCACTTCACGCCTGGACTACTGTAATGCTCTCTACATGGGGCTCCCCTTGAGGAGCACCCAGAGGCTCCAGCTGGTCCAGAATGCGGCCGCGCGGGTAGTTATGGGAGCAGCATGGCGCTCCCATGTGGCTCCCCTCCTGCGCGAGCTGCACTGGCTCCCTGTGGTCTTCCGGGTGCGCTTCAAGGTCTTAGTTACCACCTTTAGAGCGCTCCATGGCTTAGGACTGGGGTACTTACGAGACCACCTTCTGCCACCAATAGCCTCTCACTGGCCAGTACGCTCCCATAGAGAGGGGCTTCTCAGGGTGCCGTCAGCCAAACAATGTCGACTGGCGGCCCCTAGGGGGAGAGCCTTTTCTGCGAGGGCACCCACCATCTGGAACGAGCTCCCCCCAGAGATACAGAAGATTCCGGATCTGCGCACTTTCCGCCGTGCCCTCAAAACATTCCTGTTTCAGCAGGCCGGCCTGGCCTAACTTTCCCTTTATATTGCTTTTTGATTTTATTTTAAACTGGGATGTCTTGAATTATCTAGGACCAGAGTGTTTAGTATATTTTAATTGGTTTTTTTTTTATTAACGTTTGTATTACATGTATTTTTATCGTTCGCTGTTCACCACCCTGAGTCCCTTAGGAATAGGGCGGTATATAAATTTAATAAATAAATAAAGTTATGCTTAGCCTGCCGAATGCCTGCCAACTACATTTAACATGCCATTCAATTTCCTTTATTGTATCACCTTCCACTCCATTCACTCTGACATATAAGTCATTATAAACTTGAGAGAAAGGGAAATTTAAATTTAAATCCTTAGTTCATCTATAAGGGTGTGGAGCTGGATTAAAACTGGGAGCAGAGGTGGAAAAGGGAAAAATGAAGCCTTTCTTTTAATACTGACCTTTTATAAACACGTATTATCAGCATACTTGGGATACATGTAGTTTATTCAAGACACCAAGGCACAAATTATTCTTTGATGATGGGATTTTAGAGTTGAAGGAAAACTCATTCGTCTTATTCTTCCCACATAGGCAGTAGTTAAAATATTAGTATCCTCCCAACACTAAGCACTCCTAGCATTCAAATTAAGCACATACTCATTTTCAATATTATGGACTGTAGGAGCCAGACTACTAATAGAGTTTACCACCAAGTAATTCCTTTGTGGTGGAGTCTCTTTTACATTCATGTGAGTTTATTTTGTAGGTCCCTGTTTCTATGTTTTCTATATTTAAGATTCACATCCATTTTTCGATCAGCTTTCAAGAAAACACGGAACTCATATGCACCACACATCCTGCAATACAACACAAACAGTATGTCAAACTGAGCCAAAAATAAACTGGGAACAGCCGAACAGAAGTATATATTGTGCAGGTAGTCAACGTACGACCACAATTGGTATTGAAATTTCCGTTGCTAACCAGGTCAGATGTTAAGTGAGTTGCACCCAATTTTATTACATTGTTAAACAAACCAATGAGGTTGTTAAGTGAATCATGTGGCTGTTAAATAAATCTGGTTTCAATAAAGGAGAATATTTGTAACTCAGGGTTGAAATAAGGGGTTCCTTGGTGCGCTTTGAACTTGCTTGTTTTCTTGTAGACGTTTCATAACCCTAATTAGGTAACTTCATCAGTGCTAGTGAGGAATGCTGTTTGCTGTCAGTTTATATTCTGGTGACTTGCCTATCTGTGTGAATGGGGGCGGTCTTAGGGATTCTTTCATTGGGCTGTTTACCGATGACTCTTTGGCAGTTTCTTGATTAGGATATTACTTGCTTGATTGTTGGTCTGAAGTTAACCTTGGAGTTAATCTATGCTGATCCGAGTGCTGAATACTGATGGAGAGGTGCTGGAGTCTTTTTCTCTTTGGGATTGGTGGATTGTCTCTTTTGCATAGTCTATACAAAATGTCTATGTGTCTATTGATAACTGGTTTGTCAGAGGGCCAGAAATCCTTCTAGAAATTCCCTGGCATTTTTGGACTTGGCCTGGTCCAAGATTGTCGCATTTTCCCAGTTGAAAATATGGTTAGATCTGTCTACAGGTTGTGAAATGAAAGAATTTTCATCATGTCTTCTGACTGCCAGTTGGTGTTCATGGATGCCAGTTCTGCCAGTCTTTTGCCTGTTTGTCCTACTTAGTGGTTGTTGCAGTTCTTACACTGTATCTTGTAGATGACTCAGTGGTGGGATTCAAATTTTTTTTACTACCGGTTCTGTGGGCGTGGCTTGGTGGGCATGGCATGGCTTGGTGGGTGTGGCAGCCCACCAAGCCACGCCTCTGGATCACCTGGGACTCGGCAGCCTCCTGATCAGCTGGGACTCGGGAGGCAGAGAATAGATAGGGGCGGGGCCAGCCAGAGGTGGTATTTACTGGTTCTCCGAACTACTCAAAATTTCCGCTACCAGTTCTCCAGTAAAGAACCTCATGTGCTCACATTTTCGGTGTGCGGCGAACTGGTGGTAAACGTATGTGAAACCCACCTCTGACGCAACCTCATGACTCACAGAATTGCATCAGACATAGGGTTAGAAAAGCAGGGCAGGGTTCTTGCCATGACATTGTGCATCATTTTGACATTGCTGTGGACACCCATGCCTCTGGGGTGGAAATCTCTTTTCTTCTGTAATGTTTCCCAGAGTTGTAAAAAAAAAAAAAATACAATTATCTACTTAACTACATTAACAGAGCTATTATAATGATATGGAATGGCCTTGAAAATACTCTTCCAATATTTTGAGGGGATGGTTGGGATGTCAAAAAGAAAATGTAGGGATATTCACAAACTGTTCAACTAGAGTGAAGTAACATTTCTGAAAATCTCAATTCAATAACTTTGGGACATTTAGAATGGGTAAACAGATTCAGCGGTGTATCCTCCAAGTCTAAGCACAGCTTGAATTTTAAACTGGTTTTAGTTAAAAGTGTTCAATTTCATTAAAACAGAAGGGAAGCAGAGGGATATACTTTTATGTAACCTATATCAGGAATTGAAATACGATCATTTTATAATGTTAGAATTATGATGCTCTGACAATATGTTTTGGGGGGTCATGTTCCTTACAATTTTGCCTTTATTTT